CTTGTAGTATATATAAGTAGATGTATTACAAGGTGTTATGTTGAAATGATGTAGTATTTTTGTTTTGTTTGTTTGTTTATTCAGAAATCAATAATATTTATAATAATTTTAGTCTATGAAGAATAAAATGCTTATAATATATTGATGAAGAAGTGCAACATTAGGCACCTCCATACTGACAAATATTGGACACATGATGTGTCTATGCTTATACTGTTAATGCTTGGCCGTAAAGTATTCCATGCGTTGACTATTAGTTTTGTAAAGAACTTTTCTTTTTCAACACAGTTCTTAAGTTATTGCCATGAATGTTATACTGGGAAAACGGTTGCACATAGACTTGAGGTACAACAAATTCAATTTTTTCAACACTATATGCAATCATATATTGCTGAGTTAAATTATTTTTAACTCGTCCACCTTCTAATTTGGTTAGGTCTAGAATTGTAAGCCTTTCTTTATAAGTTTTATTTTTCATGTCTGTGATCAGCTTCATCAAAAGCTTTTGAAGGCTTTTGAGAGCCTTGATGTCTCCCCTCAGGAGACATCAAGGCTTTCGAAAATTCAATTGGATGGCAAATTTGAGGTGTGGTCTAACATACAATTTGTAAAGGACTTTCCAAAGTATGAGACTGCTTCTGAAAGATTTCTTAATCCGACAAAGTACCTGGTTTGCTCTTGCAGCGGCTGCTTCAACTTGGTGCTTGACTTTCAATTCTTCTGAAACAAGAACACCTAAATCTCGTTTGACTGAAGTTGTACCCAATTTTTGTCTTATTCCCATCTGATCAGTCATTGTGTAGACATAGACTGATTCAAGCAACCTATGTGCATAGATTTGTATTTGTCCAAGTTAAAGAGCATTAGCCACTTTTTGGACTATTCTACTGATTTGTCAATGTCTAACTGGAGACATGCTTTGTCCTCCTCTGTTTTAATGATACCTAGTATTTTGCTGTCATTGGTACATATCTCGATGTGATAAGCTATGTTTTCCGATAGGTTATTTATGTTGAGGATGAAGAGCAATGATCCTAGCACTGATCCCTGAGGCACTCCACTAGTTACCTCTTTACTCAGATTCAGCTCTGCCAACAACAACCCTTTGCTTTTGGTTAGCCAGGCAGTTTGATATCCACCTGAACAGTGAGCTGCATAGGCGGTAAGCTCTTAGTTTATGGTGGAGTTTTTTGTGCGGCACTTTGTCAAAATGCTTTTGCAAAGTCAGTGTATATCACGTCTATGGCAGAGCCATGATATACTGCGTCTGCCAGAATTTTGCCAGCTTCTAGTAGATTAGACAGACAGCCCTTGCTTAGGTAAAAAACCATGTTGAGCTTTTGTGAATAGACCATTGTTATAGCAATGCTTCATGATTCGCTCGTGAATGAAGCTCTCCATTATCTTGCATGGTACTGATGCTAGTGATATTGGTCTGTAGTTTGAGTGTTTCCTTCTGCTATTGGTCTTGAAGATTGGTGTTATAATTGACAGTTTCCATAGATTAGGTACTTTTCCTTTAGAGAGAGACTTGTGGTAGATCATTGCTAATGGTAGGGAGATCACAGTAGTGCAATTGTTAAGTACACCAGGGTGGATTCCCTCATATCCTTTAGATTTATTCTTGATAGATACCTTTTTAAATTAGTTTTTCAAGCTTTTGCTGTACAGCTGCATGCATGATTGTAGCTTTATTTAAATCACACTTTGGATTTGCATTCTCTCTGTATATCTGTATATCTCAGTAAATGTATGTATATCATGTACAGTTTTCAAAAATCATAAATTTTAAAATTTTTATAGAACATCAAAAAATGTATAGTAAAATAACTGATTAAAAATTCTATCAGTTATTTTTTTATACATTATTAGCATTAACGTTTTACTTTATTCAAGTTTTTTATTAGATATTACTTTTGATATTTAATTTCTGCGATTAAACTTGGAATTTCTTGTTTATAAAGTAAGCACTACATTACATCACTACCACATTAATATTTGGTCCATATTTGAACTTGCACAATGACACCACTATTAGTTGGATACATATGTAATTTTTTTTTATTTTAATTTTATTGGCTCAAAAAGTGATATTTGGAACATTTCTGAGTTTTACTTGCTATAAAGCAATGAAATTTATTTTAATTATCTTTTTAGATGTTCATTATCTAAGAAGATAAATAAAATAAATTTAGGCTTTAAATGTTCAAACTTTTAATAAATGAATATTATGAAATATATTCATAAGTAATCATCACTTTGCAATAATGTTACAATTTTTTGTAAATCATTTTTATTTAAGCATTTTGATTTGAAGTAAGGTGGGTGAGAATACTCAAAGTATACAAAATAGAAAACATCAACATAACATTATAAGTCCTATGTCATATAATTATATGCTTTTGGGGTCAAGGAATCGATTTCTGACATCAAAATTGCATTTTGACTACTCTAATTGATACACTATATATTGGTGCATTTTGGATTTTTCGGTGTTGTAGATTTGACACTTTTTTCATATAAAACTCCATATAAAACAAAAACCTTTACTAGGTTTTTATTTTATATTAAGACACTGTAATCAAAATTTTTTTATTTTTGTTTTTTATTCTTTTGACAATAATTTTAGTTAATAGTTTTTTTATTATTCAGTCTGTGGTTTGGCCAGAGTTTTGTTTTTATATTTAGGTTATGTTTAAAGTTTTTGAAAATAATAAGTTTCCTTAGATTTTGAATTAACTTTTTTATAATTTATTTTTTATATTTTAGAGCATTTACTATACAACATATTTCTACTGCAATGAAGAATATATCCTCGTTTTTCCTGTTGTGCAGGTATTAACAAAATGTTTGAGAAAATTTTTAGTCAAGCAAAGTTTTTTACACAATTTATTTTAAATATTATTCATAATATTATTTAAGTTTTTTCATCCCTCAGTTATTGCGCACCTTTCAGTTTAGATTTTTCATCTATTCCATTTTTAATAAATAAACTAGCTGTGTTCACCGAATGAACTAAAGATGGGAGAGAATTCACTGAGTGAACTCTCTCCCATCTTCAAGTTTTCTATCAACCGGTTTCTTGCTTTTTAACAATATTCTTTGTTTTCTGGCAATTCCGTAACTCCTAAATTAAAAAGTGGTTGCTTACAGTCTTGTTGGTAGTGAATTGGTTTAAAAAAAAAAGAAATAAAAAAGTGCAGTGCAGTAGGTGTAGGTAGCTGGTAGGCGTAGTAATAGGTAGCTTGAGATCTTGTACTTTTCTATTACTTTCTTAATATAAAATAGTTTTAAAACAAAATGTTTTTTAGAATTATATTTTAGTTTTCAATAATAATCTCAATGATAGAATACATAATTAGACCCGCCCTCTCTCCTTGTATGCTAGTTAATATGTGACAATTTTATAATTTAAGTTGCTGAAATTAGTGCCAACATAATTTATTTTTTAAAAGTCAAAAATGCTATATGTATATGAATATCTTTAAAAGTTTTAATATCTCAATAACACATCCTCTCACTCCATAAAAATAATAAAAATTAGCGGAAAAGGTAAAGAAACCATTTGAAATAATAACTTTTGTTGGAGTAAACCCAGGCTTTGAAAAGAATGGCAGGCTATATAAGGAATGGCCTGTCTCTACACCTGTGTCAGTCGGTTTACACTGGCAAAATAAGGTGCAAAAAAAAAAAAAGCCCTCACAAAATATAAACTTTTGGGTAAATTTTTAATAAACTTCAAGTTTAGAACTTTCTTTTTTAAATTAAAAATTGAAAAATTTATTATTTATTAGTAAATTTATTTTATTATTTAATTTATTATTAAAAATTACCTCAATTGTTTCAATTTTAATTTCTATCTGATGATCTGACCAATGACTACTTATTGATCAATTAAATTTGAAATCACGAAAGTTTACTTTAACATTTACTATTAATTATAACATTTACTATTACTTATAACATTTACAATAAATTGTATCGTTTACTATTAATTGTAACATTTACTATTAATTATAACATTTACTATTAATTATAACATTTATTATAAATTTTTTTTTTTTAATTATCTTCGCTTCTAACAAGGTTGCAAGCAACCACTAATTAGTGTTGGAAGTTACTGGAAGAGAAAAGATGAAGATTGTAGAGCAAGATAACGATTGACAGACGACTTAAAATATTGCAAATTATATGAATCAGGAAAGCAAGATAAAGGAAGCGAATTCCAAAGAACTGATGTTCGAGGAAAAAAACTAGACGAATAAGAGTTTTTGGAGCACTTAGGAACAGTAACAGAAAAAGGATGAGACTTAATTAAATGGCGAGTAACACGAGAATGAATTTTAGTAGATGGCACAAGAGACGTTAGCTCTTTAGAGCAGTGCCCATTATAGTATTTGTAGAAAAGAGAAAGAGAAGCAACATTTTGACGATGTGACAGAGGTTGAAGGTTGGCTGCAAGAGCAGGTCCAACTATGTTTACAATGCGTTTTTGCACCTTGTCTAAAAGAGAAAGGGCATCATTAGAAGATCCGCCCCAGATATGGCAACAGTATTCCATACAAGGCTGGATTTGAGATTTATAGAGATAGAGAATAGAATCCAGAGTAAGAAAGTGACAAGCTCGATAAAGAGAAGCAACTTTAGCAGATGCTAATTTTGCAACGGATTTGATATAAGGTTTTCAAGAAAGATCAGAAGTAAGAGTTAATCCTAGAAGATGAAGGGTAGGAGACTCATCGAGTACATTACCATTCATAAATATAGGAAGGTCTAAATTATTGCAATAACGATTGGCTGAAAAAAAATTGAGTTTTATCTGAATTAAAGTTCACCAGCCACTGCGAGCCCCATGCTGTAGCAGAAGTGAGATCCTTTTCGAGCTCAGATGCCCCCTGCAAGCAATCAGAGGAGTTGGCTTCTTATCGTGACAAGAATAAATGGTAGTATCATCAGCGAACCATGCCACCTTAGATGTGAGAATATCTGGAAGATCGTTAATGTAAATTAAAAAGAGTATAGGGCCAATTATAACACAGGGCCAATAATAACATTTACTATTAATTATAACATTTACTATTAATTATAACATTTACTATTAATTATAACATTTACTATTAATTATAACATTTACTATTAATTATAACATTTACTATTAATTACAACATTAACATTTACTAAATACAGTGTTTTAATTTGTTAGTCGTGATATTAAAGTCACAAAATATTTATCATCAAATGTGTATATAATCATTACAACAGTTATTATAAATCTTAAGTAAATATATAAACAATGTTTAAAACAGTTTGCTAATAAAAAAGATTGTATTGATCAAATGCTGTTTCATGCAGAATTTAAAAGTAGGATAAAAGGTATAACATTGACAACAACAACTTTACAACAACAATTAAGTTTACAGCCTTAGTTCAGAAAAATAAAGTTTACAGTACATTTTAATCATTTTACATTAAGCATTAATTAAAAAAACTTAATTAAAAATAAAGGTAAACTTAAAGCAGTGCGTTAAAGTCACAATTTTCTAAACTGACTTGACAATGTTGTAAAACATAAAATGATATTTAAAAAAGTAATAATCTAGTTTTTTATTGTAATTTAAAGTATAATACAAACAACATTCTAAAGTATAGTTAAGTAAGTATTCTTATTAAAGTTCTCTTCTGCAATATATTTTCTTGTTGGTGATTAAAATGCTATAAGGTACACGCTTAAACTGCATCAGCAGCAGTAGTATTTATTGTATTATATAATTAGATTCTAAAAAATAAGATATAAATATCTACAGGTGTTTAAAAAATTAGATTTAAATTTCATGCAAATGTTATTTTTACCGAATTTCATATTCTGGAGATTAGAACAATTGTTTTTTAATTTTTTATTTATTTTGATATTTTAATTATATTTTATAAATAATAGATATTGTAAATTATGTATAATAAAAAATATTATTATATTAATAATAATATAATAATATTTTTTAAATAATAGAAATTGTTAAAAATCAAAAATAAATAATAAAATAGTATAAATAACAATAATTATAGTTATTGTTATTAGTATTATTATTACAAATAATATTGATATAAACTCTGGATTGTTGCCACAGACTTTGGTAAAAAAATTGAAATGTATTCCAAAATTTAGACAAGTAATATCAAAACTTGCATAGTAATACATAATGCTTGATATAAAATCAAAACGTATACTATATAAATACTCTAGAAAAATAATGTTATTTAATATGTTTGATGTCAAGTAATAAAAAAGTTTTGTGTAAAATTAAAATCAAGTATAAAATATTTTTTTTTTTCTCAGCAAAAGAAGTTTTTTCGGTTGAAGAAGGCAATTCCTGTTCATATATTTAAAAGTTTTTGGTTTACAATAAAGGTATTTATGATTTTTTTTTAAATTTTGATTAATTATATTATTTGTGAGTTCTGAAAGCAGAATTAAAAGTACATTTTTTAAAAAAAACTGAAACCAAAAAATAGCCAAAGTTGACCCACAGCTATCTAAAACCCAGGCCTATTAGTTCAGAAAAGAAAACTGGAGCCCGATTAGTTTGCAAAAGTTTGCAAACTAATTGGCCTTTTCATATATATTTAAAAACTATTTTCAAAGACTGAACCGATTATGCCTTTTAAGTGTTGTATTTACTATTTGTTTTATTTTATTTGTGTATTTACTATTTATTAAGAAAAGGTGCTGTTTGTAGATTACCAGAATATCTAGAGGAATGTAAAAAGTGGCTCTCTAAGAAGTGCTTTTCCTGACAGCAAATATACTGTTGCATGTTCTGAAGATTGGCCATTAATTTAAAAAAAAATGTTTATGGCGAGGATTGACCCTTATTTCTGCTCTCTTATTTTATTGTGTTAAGTCAAGCCTTATACCAACTGCCAAAATCAAGGACTATAGCTTCAGCAACTACCAGTTCTAGAAGTGCTTGAGCTGATCAGCCTAAAATATTTATTCCCATGAAGTATTTTTATATAAAATAATCTACTCAGTATTTAGCCCAAAAAAATACCAAAAGTTGTTTATAAAAGTGATGAAAAAATGAAGACTAGTTTTGTTAAATTTAAAAGTTGCCTTAAAATTAATTTTATTGGTTTTATTTGCATTTTTTTCCGTTTTAAATCTTTTTTCTACTTTAAAATATGAAACAAATTGCTGTGGATGCTATGTAACAAATTTATCAAAAACCCATGGAACTATTTTTAACAAATGGTTGATCTTGTTTGCAGCTATAAGATATTTGACTAATTTTGAATTATTAAGTTAAAAAAAAATTCTTATAAAATGTTTATCTTTCATGAAAATCTCATGTATCAAGGATATTTTCTATTCTTCAGACATTGTTCAATCTTTTGAATATTTTAATGTTTCAAGAGCACTTAAACAAATTAGATATGGTTACCAGCTTCCCAGTGTTTTTGATTTTACAAAAATTGATATCAAAAGTTTCTAAATTAGATAAATTTGATTTAAGCAAACTTAATGAGTGCATTTTAATAATAAATTATATGTTAAAGTGCATTTTAATAATTAATTATATGTTAAAGCTTCATTAACTTTCAATGGTGGAGAACTTTTTGTGAAATCTGTTAATCAGCCAGACAAAGCAAAAACAATATTAACTTTTATAGTTATTCCAGTGAGTTGCTTTGATTCTCAGTTATCAATTCTTTGATTTTCAGTAATAAATAGTAAATTCTGTATTTAGTTCAATTTCAAATTCAAATTGGAGTTTTGTTGTTAGAGTTTTTTGTGAAGATTATCATTAGACATTATCAACACATTTTAAAAATAGACTCAATTGATTTTAAAAGAAGTTTTATTTCATTGATGTTTGGAAAATTATTATTTAAAAACTTGATGACGATAAAAGGTTAAGTGACCCGTTGCATCCTGTCATTAAATGACCAGATGATCTTTGTTTGCAGCAGCTCTTTTCTACATGAAAAATAGTAAAGTTATGCAATAATCAAAACAAAAGAAAATAAATGCTGGCTGTTAAGGCATTTAAAATCAATAGCCCATACATAAAAAAACTATATCCGATCATCCTCTTTAAAAACATCCTACATCCTCTTTAAAAAAATTCCAATAAGTTGTGTTAAAGTGTCAGTAGTGCATATTTTTTTTTTGGTTCAAGTTTTGAAAAAACTAAAATTGTATGCTAAAATACTTGACTAAGATGTTTATGAACTTGAAGTTAAAGCTGCATGAACTGTCAGAGGCAACTAATGCAAAAGTAAAGTGAAATATTTAATTAAATGCAAAAGTAAAGTGAAATATTTAATTAAATGCAAAAGTGAAAATATTTAATTCTTTGAACATATTATAATCAAGTTTAACTGCTAAAATGTCTCGTTTCGATTTTTAAAAAATAAATACATTATAAATTTCTGGTTACCTATTTTAGACTGGTTATGAAGATCTTGACATTGACATATTTGTATTTTAGTAAGCAATGCTTATCTAAATAACTTAGATAAGCACCCCTTATCTATGTCATTTAGAAGTGGTTAGAAAAAGTCAATTGAAATTTTATTTCAATCTGATTTTGCCTGTTTGTTAACATTCTCGATTCCATTCCCATTCAATTAAAATGATAATTTCTATTTTTTTTGGATTATTTTAAAAATATTATGTCTTGTATGAAAAGTTATAAAATCTTATTTTAAATAATTACTCAAAATTGAGCACTTAACACTTTTACGGGGAGCTTATTTAAAATTTTTTAAAGTTTATTAATTAGATTAAAAACTTGTTTTTGATGTTTGACTAATAAGTTTCCTTTAACTAATTAATGTTCTATTTAAATCTTTTATGTTACTTACTATAAATATAAATAGTTTTGCTTTCAGTATTTATGTTTAGTAAGTTAGATATTTTATTTATGTTTAGATAGTTTGAAATCAATTAATTTGTTATAGTTGTTTGATAAAAAATGAAATGTTAACAAAATCAGCCTCCAGTTTTCAAATCACATCCATGGAGTAATAGACTTTGGTTTAAGTCATGCAGAGACTAAAAATCTTGTGGTCATGACATTAAACTGAATCTATATTGAATAAGCTTTAGCCAAGGTGAAGGCAACTTTTTAATGCAGGATAAGCTGTTGCCTAGGTAAAGGTTTGTTACTTAAGAGAAGAAAAACTCTAATATAAAACTTCCAATACATTTTTGGAAATAGAGGAGTTTGTAAACTATGGTATTTCTTAGAAGTAATACCACAATATAAATAGCCTTTAACTGCAAACCAGATTAACATAAGAAAAAGCATCTGGTTGTAAAAAGTTTCATTAAATTTTCCATAATGTCATATTTATCACTTCTCCATAATGTCATATTTATTACTTCTCCATGTCATATTTATTACTCTTCATAATGTCATATTTATTACTTCTCCATAATGTCATATATACTACTTCTTCATAATCTCATATTTATTACTTCTCCATAATGTCATATTTATATGAGAAAATGGCTTTGTTAATTCATCCATACTTTTGAAATAGTGCTGAAGTAAAATGATAAATCATTGGCTTAAAACTTCAGTATTATAATATCTGACCTTTTTATTTAATGGAAAATTAATTATTACTTTGTCCAAAAATTGTTAAAACATATTTAATTTATGAGGGGTTAAATCCTTATTACAAAGGGACTACTACTTATGACTTAAAGATTGTGGTAGTTGATGTTTTGGAATGTATTTAAGTTTACATACATAAGATGACTTATAAAGCGTACTGATTTCTACAATTCAAGTTTAAATAAATAGTTACTATTTGAATTAGCTGACTGTCTGAGAATAATAACAATACAAATAGCTAAGCATTAAAAGTGTGAGTAAACCAACTAGGAAACATAAGGTATGAAAATGTGCAAAGGTATGATAGAAAATGCATAAGGTATGATAGAAAATGTGCATTCTTTGCAAATATTGCAAAGACTCAATTAGAATAATCTTAAAACTCTATTTGTTGTCATGAGTACCCAGAAACATAAGTAATTACATCAGTAACATAAGTAGTTACACCAGAAAGGTTTATGAAGATAGTTAAAAAAATAAAAATGAAAAACTGCATGTTATTACCCTGAAAAGAAACATGAATTAAAATGACATTCTAGTAACACCTCAACACTAGAATTAATGACTCACCATTAGAAGAAATGACTCACCATTAAATTCTTTTTTTTTTTATTTTATTTTCCTTAACCATTTGCTTTAAAAAACTACATTTTTTTTTTTGTCTTCTAAATCTCAAAAAAAAACTTTTACTCATAGTAATGATACATAAATAATAAAGAAACTTTATTCTCAGATGTTTTCCACCTGTTATAAAACTTCTTTTCTTCACTAATTTAACACAATTTTGCATTTCATCACCATGATTTTTTGCATCTTTGAGGACTTTTTTTAATTTCTTCCTCATACGTTATCAGTTATTTCTATAAAACCTTTTAAAATTATTTTCTATATGCTCTCCACATTTCATTCTGGCCTTATTTATGCATTAGTTTAAAATTGTAACAACATTTTTCTTTTATTATCTCTTATGCCAAATCTATTTCTACCTTAACACTCAAACCATATCAGACTGCACCAATCAAAACCATATCGGGCTGCACCAACAACTATTTTTGTCTCCACATGCAACCAGCCTCTTATTTTCTCATTTATTTTTCAAAATTTTACCTAAAAAAACACATAACCTTTTCTTTTCTTCTTCTATCCTACCTTTTGAAGGTGATTATACTGAAGCTATATTAGGCATTGACTCTTTAATATAAAAACTAAATTGAATCATATTAATAATTTTCTGATTGACTTACCTGAGGTCAACATTGTGCCATCAGAAAGCGTCTCTAGTTAATGTATGTGCAAGTTGATTTTTTTTTTAACCTTGGTTTTTGGATTAGGTTTCTTTAACCAAATTCTTTCCAACAATCTGAGTCACCTAAACCTTTCTGTTGCTTCAATACAAGGAAAGATATGTTTGCATTTACTTCATCCAAACATTTTTGTTCTCTGATTTCTGCTGGTGTATGGGGTTGTTTATCTTCCAATACATTTTGTTTTTCAAACTCATTTATAGTTAGTTCATTGGTGGTGATTTTCAATTTGTCAGTTACTGAAGTATGTGTAACTTTTATGTTCATAGTAATGGTTCACCAGCAGACGATTCAACAGATACAGATGCAATGTCCTGCAATTTTTTCTTTGCTGAAATGCTTGTCCAATAGCTCAGATTTTTTGCTTTTTATTTTTCTACAACTATTTTTAACTTGTTTAATTTCGCTTGACATGAAAATGGTTCTGATTTTAATTCGTTCCATAAAGTCTGCACTTCTTTCAGTTGGACATGCTTCGATTTTTCTGGATATGCAAAACTTAAGTATTCACTAAATCTTGGTAAAGATCTGGCATATTATTTAATTTATTTTTCTTGAACATGTCTATAGAAATAAAATCATTAAAAATTGTTAATTTTTGGTAAGAAATACAAAGATGAGTTATATAACGATATGTATTTTTACAAATTCGAACAAAAGTTTCTACCAAACTACAAACTTCAAAAATTAACATTATATACACATTAACAACTACACATTTAGCCATTTTATAACCTTATAAACACGTAAACAGGTTTTTTTATTATTAAAAACTAGTTTATAATATAACACTAAGAGCCATAAAATTTACAAAACAGTTACAGAGTTATTTTTTGGCAAGAAAATTATTTTATTAAGAATTCAATATATATTTCCGAATTTTTCACCTATGTATCAATTCAATATAACTCAAAGTTGAAACGAACTATCTATAAGAGAACAGCTTAAATGAGAATTTAATTTCCGCACACAATCAAATGGAATTTCATTCAATCTTTTTTTCTTTAGATAAAGAAGCCTTTATCTATATGAAACCTTTATCTATACAATAAATGATCACGATGTTTGCATTTTAATATTATGCGGATATACAACAAAACATATTTATAATATTTTACTATGAATAAAAAAATTTATTGTATTTTACTATGAATAAATTATTCAAGAATAAGTATAGTAAAAAAAATTTCATTCTATTATAGAAAATGTTACAATATATTGTTCCGTGACATCAAGTGGCTTGTGATTGTTGCAGTCAATGACTGCAATCAGTATTTTTTTGGTCAAGATGGTCTATTATAAAATGCAAATAGTCTGACATCACTTTTGTCTTAACTCACTCACCTACCCATGTCACATTTTGTCACGCTTTCAAGGAACCCACCCACCCACTATCCGACATGACGTAATTATGCAATGCTTATGTATTTATAGAAAATGTTTAATCTTGATATCGCTTTAAATAAAATTTAAATATAAAAAAAATGGTATAGCGTTTCATATTCTATTCGACATTTCTAAAATAAATTTTAGTTAGAAGCATATATTATGTGTTAACAACATATAAGATATAAATAGAAACATTTGTACGGCTATGAGTATATGAAGTAAATTAGTTGACAACTTAATATTTGAATAAATGTAAGTTATTGTAGTAACTTAACTGGTTGTTTTGATTTAGTTTATAAGTAAATTTACTGTGAAGTAAATTTACTGTGTAAAATTACTTTATCCATTCAGTAAATCACAATAAATATAACTTTAAAAGGTTCAGGGTTGTTAAAGGGAAATACGTTTAAGCAAAAAAGTTACTGGTTTCTTTTAGCATTGATCAACTATTAGAAAAAAATTTAATAAAAACAAATTTAATATATATTTTATTATACTTAAGGAACTAAAATTAATAATACAAAATTGTTGATAAAATAATAAATTAAATTAATAATAAGTTAATTTGATGCAACATTTTGAAGACAAAGATAGAAATCAGGCTGTTTTGTTAAAAAAAAAAAGAATGAAGAAAAAATTTAACGTCTTATTCCATTTAAATTCAAAAATACTTTAGATTGAATGAAAATCTCTGCTTGAAAGGGCAAATGGTCATGCTTTTATTCAAAAGATAAATTTAGCGTGACGTACTTTATGAACCCTAATAAAAAAATTTAGAAATATTGCAAGTCTTTTGTTAACTTAATGGTATGCAAAATGGTATGAGGCTGTTATAAAAGTTTGAGAAGCACACAGAAAGTACTTATTTTATGCTGTGGCTTCTTTACTTTTTATGTTTATGTATGTTGATTTTTGAATCAAAACCTTGTATGGTTCAGTAAAAAATGGTTTTTCAATATACAGTTATGATCTTTTAGATCATAACTGTACTATTGAGGGTTTGGACAGGCAATATCTCCATATAAATGAGGAACAAAATACTTTTTCTTTAATTTTTAGAGGTTTTTATAGTGGGATATGATTTGAGAAATATAATTTTTAGTAAACAAAGGGAGACTTGATGGATGAAAAGAGAGCCAGGATTGCTCTTTGTTTCTTTTTATTTTTGACTATGCTACTGTTTATTTTCAGTTCCTAATCTATTTTATTTGTTACATAAGAATACCAGGATATGATATAGCTTATCAGGATTATATTTCTTATCAATATTGATGTTATTGTCTTTTTATTGAAGACGTAAATTGATATTTATTACATTTCTAATTAAATTTTTAAAGTTACTAGATATAAAATATTATTAAATACAAAATGGCTGCTGGAACAAGGAGGAAAAATGGTTTTTATCTACGTAAACATTTGGGATCTGGAAAAGAGTTACCAGTAGCTGAACTGCCTACTCAGTTAAAACTGACACCAGTGAACTAAACAGAAGAAACCATAGTAATTTTGAGTTGATCCTGTATATTTACATTTAAGCTTCAGAAAAATGGCTTATGGCCAGTATTTATTTAAGCCTCCTGTAACTAGTTTAAAACATAATTTAATAACAAGATTTAAAGATGCTTGGCGCAAAGCTTGTCTGATTTTTCATAATAGAACAAGTAAAGTTACAAAACAAAAGTTTAGTTTCATCATTGACAAATTATTTGACTTGGTTGATTGTAAATGTATGATTTTACTTCTGAGCAACTAAAGAAAAGTTTTGAACTTTTAGTTCTTATCAAGGACCCGCTGATTTGATGGAGTCAACTTGGGTCTGCTGATTTGATGGAGTCAACTTGGTCCTGCTGATTTGATGGAGTCAACTTGGGCCTGCTGATTTGATGGAGTCAACTTGGGCCTGCTGATTTGATGGAGTCAACTTGGGCCTGCTGATTTGATGGAGTCAACTTGGGCCTGCTGATTTGATGGAGTCAACTTGGGCCTGCTGATTTGATGGAGTCAAAAAATTTAATAAAGGTAAAAAGTTGCAAACAAAAAAGAGTAGAAGAAAAACTGAGAAAAAAAATACATGGCTCAAAACATAACTAATGGTCAAAGTAAACAAAATAGCGAATATAAAATTTTTGAAGAGTTCAATTTTTATGAAGGTGAGATTTCTATAAAAAAATCTAGAAACTATGAAGGTATCTCAAATATTGCATTTGCCAGTATTAGATACGGTATTGAAATAAAAGCAACTGCAGCAATAGCTACTGCTGCATGGGTAGTTGAAGGATTTGTATCCAAAAATGAAAATAGATTAATAATTGATCACAGTAAAGTTAGTAAAGTTAAAGTTATGAATGAAGTTGCTAATCAGTTTAATAATTACTGCAATAAAGAGATTATAGACTATATTTTTTGATGGACGAAAAGATCTGACTAAAATATTTTAAACTCAAACAGACAGTACCCTGATAAAGTTAAAGGACCTTACACTGTTTATTCTGGTGATGGGAAGTATTTGTTTTATTTCACACCAGCTAAAGAAGCAGAAAAGAAACATGCTGAAATCATAGCAGATAAAATCTTTGAGTATAATGAAATGAGAAAAATTAGCACACACTTAACATCAATTGGTCGAGACTCTACCAATGTAATGGAGCTAAAGTTAGGGCAAAAGTTAAATTGGGTTGTCTGTGCTCTACACACCAATGAGTTACCATTAAAACATTTGAATAAATTGTTAGTTAAGAATCTAAAAGCGGTAAAAAATGGAGTGAACCTATTAGAAGCTTACTTGACAAAGCAACCAATCTTAAAATTACCCCGTTTTTTACTAAGATTGAAATTGGTGAACCTCTTATAAACTTGAGTAATGATGTAGTGAAAGACCTTTCTACTGATCAATATTATGGCTATTAAATAGTTGAAGTTAGAAGTTATCAAATAGTAAAGCTATCAAATAGTTAAAGCAAGAAGTTCTAATTGCTGAGAAACATGACCACTTCATATACTTCGTATACCACCATTAACTTGTTGCATGACAACTACAAATATCAATGAGTACTTTTTTAAACCAATGATTGTACCAAACTGGTTTTGCCACACTCAAGCTGTCCAAAGATGTTTAAAAAAGTCACTTAGGCATATAAAAATGTTTTCACAGAAAGATAAGAGAGATAGTTGGAATAAAGGACAAGAGAGAAATTAATGTCGCGTAATCTACCCAAATAATATTGTACTTTATTTTATTGTGCCAGTAAATATGTTTCATGGATTTATTTAAAAGCATTTTATGTTTAGTTCTATAACTCATTTTACCTTCTTTATCTCATTTTTACACTTTCAGCAGTGAGCTGGGAGGGGGTTGCACACCTTTTTTGCTGTTTTTATAAAAATAAATTAATGTTTTAGAAATAGGAAATGCTTTTAACAATTTTAAAATTAAAAAAAATTACAAATTTTTGAGTTCCACTTACCACCTTCCCCCCCTACCCTCCTCCCCTACCAACCAACCCCTTGATTTTTGGTAAAACATGATCACTGATTAAATACTAGTTTTGAACTTTTAATGATAAACTTACCTTTTTTTAGTTATGCAAAGCAAAATTCAATTTTCAAAAAGTGTAACACACCCTAATATATATGTGTGTGTGTATATATATATATATATATATATATATATATATATATATATATATATATATATATATATATATATATATATATATATATATATATATATATATATATATATATATATATATATATATATATATATATATATATATAAATATATATATAATATGTAACCCTTGGAATTAGTAAAAATAAAGTTGGCATTAATTTGCCGACCTCAATCATTTAGAGATCGGCATAAGGTAGGCTGACACAAAGGTCTTACAATAAAACATAGAAATTAGGTCAGCAGTTTTTGGCATTGCCAAATGTTGAATGTTTTGAAACTGATTTTGTAGTTTATTTGTTTTAGATGTTGAAGTATTATTATCTCTTGTACTATGTTTGCGGTAAAACTATCATTATTTTTTAATTACAAGATGCTTTTGTTTTATTTTTTTATTTTGGTATTATTGATTTCATTATTTAAATTTTTTAAACACAAACACTTACACACAGTTTTACTTTTATTTTATTATTATTAAGTATTAAATAAATAGCTATTTTATTAAATAATTGTCATTTTATTTCCAGGATATATGTTGAAAACAATATTGGTGAATTTTTTTGCTTATGAAAAAGATATGTAAGCAGAATTTGATAAATATAAATATGCAAGAATTTTAAATATATATATATATATATATATATATATATATATATATATATATATATTTATATATATATATATATATATATATATATATATATATATATATATATATATATATATATATACACTTATATTTATTTTGATATATTTTGATATATATATATTTATATATGTATATATATATATATATATATATATATTTATATATATATATATATATACACTTATATTTATTTTGATATATTTTGATATATATATATATATATATATATATATATATATATATATATTTATATTTATATAAAAACAAAAAAACTTGCCACATTATTTTTTTTTGCTTATGAAAAAGATATGTAAGCAGAATTTGATAAATATAAATATGCAAGAATTTTAAATATATATATATATATATATATATATATATATATATATATATATATATATATATATATACACTTATATTTATTTTTATATATTTTAATATATATATATATATATATATATATATATATATATATATATATATATAAATATTCTTATAAATATATATATTTATATATATATATATAGACATATATATATATATATATATATATATATATATATATATATATATATATATATATATATATATATATATACACTTATATTTATTTTTATATATTTTAATATATATATATATATATATATATATATTCTTATAAATATATGTATATATATATATATATACATATATATATATATATATATATATATATATATATATATATATATATATATATATATATATATATATATACTTGTATATATTTTTATATATTTATATTCTTATATATATATATATATATATATATATATATATATATATATATATATATATATATATATATATATATATATATGTATGTATATTATATATGTATATATATATATATATAAGTGTAGACCGCACGGGTAAAACCACAGATGTCAATTTTTTTCTTATTTTGTGAAAAATGAAATTTAGTGTTTAGTGACATTAGATATCTGTTTATTGATAATTTATTTGATTAAAAGTATATTTTTCTGATATTTCAGTCCTTATAGAACTTAAAAATGCAGTTTTTGTGCTAAATACAAGTATTATTTATTCACAATGTTCTTTTGAAAGCAAGACACTCAATTTGAACATCTGTGGTTTTGCCGATGTAAACTCATAAACTCATAAATTACGTTAGCCTGTAACCTTTTAGAGCATTTATTTTTTTAAAGGTAGATGGTAACACATTGCAATTTACCACTGCCCCCCTTCCTTCCTTCTTTTAATAAAAAAAATTCGAACAAAATATTATATGAAAGTTTTTTTTTAACTTTATACAAAATAGCATTTCAACCTTATCTCTTCCCCAACTTCATCTATTTACCACAGATAATTCCATGATGTCTGTGTTCCATCACTTTATATCAAGTTTGTATAAACCATGCAAAAAAATTAAAAAAAAAAGATAAAATAAGATCAAATAATGTATTACTTTTTCCATTCAGAAAATATTTTGCCTTAGTAAGTCTTAAAGTTTTTAACAAAAAAAGGCAACAGAGCCATGTATGCTTGTTTCAGTTTACTAGGCACTTCGATTATATATCAAAACATATGGAATGTAACACACATAAAATTAAATATTTCCATTTTTCCATATAATTAAACTTTAACTTTTCTTATTTCATAACCTTTAATATTTCAATTTCTCTAAGTGAACATGTCTTAAATGAACAGATAACCAAGAAGTATGGCTTTGAAATTCTGCAAATTTCAGAAATTTTTCTTAGATCATTTTTATATACAATATTGGATTCTTATGGTTTTTTGTGAGATCATTTAGTGTTTCTGGAAGAAACATTTAATTTGCTATGACCAATGTTTCTGTCACATTTTTTAGAGGTGAAATGCCTATACATAATGTGACAGAGTTCTAATTGGTAATGAAACAGTAATGCTGTCAAGTTTTTCAGTTTTATAAACTAGATAATAATATCAAATTGAAACTTTTTATTTTGTATTTTGCCTAGCACATAAATTGCAAATCAATTTGATATTTTTTACACTTGAGACAATTGATAATTTAAATTCATGCAGCATAGAACATACAACGTCAGACCATCTGTTTCCAACAGTTTCATCATTGCAATAAAAATATAGTTTTTGGATTTAAAGTATATTAGTTAAAACAGGTATTGCCTTGAATATTATACATATTAGTTTCAAACGTTTAGGCATTTTTTTTTTTTTTGAAATTTAAGCAAATTACTTCACAATTAAAAAGATCAGAATCAGAATATTATTGAGTCCATTTTCTACTATTTTTAGGATACAAAAAGTACACCTAATGAATTAAAAAAAAAAGTGAAATTAATTCAAGAGAAAACTTTTGTCATATATATATATATATATATATATATATATATATATATATATATATATATATATATATATATATATATATATATATATATATATATATATATATATATATATATATATATATATATATATATGTATATATATATATATATATATATGTAATGTTTTTTTAATGTTTTTCTGGTTTATTATTTATTAATTATTGGTTTAGTTATAAATAACTTGGACAACTGAGTTTTTTACGCGGAAAATATTGAGCAACAGTGGTTGTTTCAAAGTTGCCCTTTTTTTAAAATGACTATAGAATCTTAAAACATTTGTTAAGTAGCAGTCGATTATCAAAAGTCATAATAAAATACTTTTCGTTGATGCAAAGGTTACACTTTTTTGTAAAAGGGTTAAAAGATTGGCATCTTTTAATTATGTTCCACTTAATTATAGGCATGTTACCCACGTCTTCAAGTTTCCAGATTTCCTTGAAAAGTTCCGTATCATTCCTATACCTGGTTGCATTAAATGATTTAAGATGGTTTGCAAATCTAAGTTTGAATCTGTTTTCACTAATTCCGATGTAGAATTTTTTGGTAAGGCTGGTATTAGGTAATTCTAAAGTGGCTTTATATACAACATTTTTTGATAGACATTGATTATTTAACGGGCATGTGGTTTTATTAATGCAGTTGCAATTTATATCATTATCGGTAAGTTTGTTGCGCAAAATTTATTGGTTGCATAAATTAATTATTGATCGAATATTTTGGCATGCAGCTGTAACTAATTTTTATTGTGTTTCTGTTAAATATTTTGTGGAGCTTATGATGTAATGGAAAATGCAAGTCAATTAAGTTTAAGAAAAGATGTCCAATTTTTGTTATCACATTTTTACTGTAAAGAGGGTTAAACCATATAATATTTCTTTTTCGTTTATTAGTAATAGAATTTAGATTTGAATGATATTGGAGAATGGTATGAAATCCAGACTTTTCTAATGCGTCATTATAAATTGGAGC